TTTTCGCGCCACTTATTTATTTTCACGCATCCTCTTTTCTTTTCTTCATCTCGTACGAATTATGTTTGAATACGTATGAAAAGGGAGTAAGAGAAATGTGGAAAAGGCTTATAAGGAAGAATATCGAATTGAATAATGTTTCATCCTCGTCGACGTGATGACGTGAATGATGAATGTGAACTCGTTTCACGAGAAATGTATACGGAAATTTTGTGGGCCAAATTATAAATTGCGAAATTAATAGGAATAAAAGAAATTCACCTTCGTTTATGCAAGATCGTATTATTTTCAGATATATCTTCCAAAGCCCACAATGTGCCCGGAGGAGGTATACAGGATGATGTGCTCGTGTTGGCGGAGGGACGAGACCTCGAGGCCGACCTTCAAAGACATTTACACGTTCCTGAAAAACATAATCTCGGACTATCGACCTGGTGCATAGAGACTTGGGTCCCGGTTAACTGTGATACACAAAAAAAAAAAAAAAAAAAGAAGGAAAGAAAGAAAAAATGGACAAAAATGGGGAGATCTCCGTTTCTACGAAGCCGGAAGTGTACAATCGTTAGTTTTAGTGCATGCAGCGGAGGCGAGCCGCGTCAAATTTCAAGTTTTTTCTTTTCTTTTTTTTAACGGAGGAAAGGAGAAAGGGAAAAATTGCGAAAAATCTATCTAAAAATTGCTTCTTCCGTTCTCTCGTTTCTATCTCTCGACTCTTGTCGATCGGGCAAATCGAAAAGGATGGAAATCGCGAGGAAGGAGAAAATTTCTGCGAGAATTTCCCCGGTTGAGGAATATTTTTGCCCGATCGCTCGACGATGACGTCGCCTTGATATTTTCTAGTCAGCTCGGTCCTTCAATTCCTACTGAAAGTGCTATATATCGTGTACAGTATGCCGAACACTGAGTACCGCGATCCTGAGCACCGATAAGTCTATCCACTTGTACATACGAGACTAGATAAACGATGCTAGGGTAAACGATAGGGAATTTTCGCGGCGGCTGGTGCCTTCGCGAAAGAAGATCGTGCTCACCTTGAGGAACCCGTGATGCGAATCCGATTGAATCGACGTTAACCCTTCAATGATCTACATTTCGCTCGAAAGCAAGCACGTTGTGTTTACCCTTCGCTCAAATGTATCTGAACGAAACGTGTGGATTAAGATAACGCAACGATAAAATTGATCTTCGTAAAAATCAAAATTTTTTCGAATTGCAATTGCAGTTAAATCTGTTAATAATTCAGGGTATATAATTAACCGACGTATCGATTTACCTAAGAACAATGTAGATAACATTGAAACGATGCAACGATAAAATTGGTCTTCGTAAAAATCGTCAAAAACTTTCTTTCGAAAAGTTCTTTTTCGAGTTGCAACACTGCAAACTGTTAAATCTGTTAATTACGATATAGAATTAATCCTCTGCTCTAATGCCTCTGCAAGGGTTAACAATCGTTCGCAATCATTTTCGCAACGATTCAAAATAGAAACACCTGTAACATCTTTGAGAGACACCAGCCTCGCGAAATTGCCGAAATTATCTTGTACATTCGAAAGCCCGTCGTACGTAGCGTAAAGTACTTATATCGTTCCATTGTATTCCTTTCTGTTCGAGTGAGAAAGAGAGAGAGAAAGAGAGAGAGAGAGAGAGAGAGAGAGAGACCTCACACTGTTTAGCGGAAGTAGAAACTTGAAACCCGATCTAACGACTCTGTTCTTCAAAAAACCTAAACGCATAAATATCATCACGCTCCTTCCTTTGATTTAACCATTTAAGGGCAAAGAAAGAGAGAGAGAAAGAGAGAGAGAAGGCGAATCGTTACCATTTTTCCTCCCCAATTTGTGGATGCGCATCGTGGATGATCGTGGAAGATGAAAAATATCTTATACAACTTTCGAAACGTCGACGGGCTGAACAGTAATCCTTCAACCTTCGCTCTAGAGTTAAACGAGTATCGAACGCGTTTGAAAGTAATTTTTCGCTGGTTTATTGCGTTGAGAATGAAGTTTATTATTGTTAGACGATTTTCGATTATTTACTTTCACACTCGTTCTCGATATAATTTCCATTAACGAGAAAAGAAAAAAAAAAAATACTCCTCTTTTCTACTCTCGAACGTATTCCCACGTTTAAATCGTAATATAATAATCATAATATAATAAGTCGAAAGTACAATTTGGCTTCGTTTCATACTGAGATGAGAACAAAGGCGTATATATATATTGGTGGTGATCATTCACGATGCGTATTTGAATTGAAAATTCGCCTTCGAGGCATAATAAGATCGTTGTCGTGCGATTAATGCCGCTCGAATTCCGAGGAAGAACGAACGTTTGAACGAGACAAGTGCAACCAACTCGTCGATCGTGATCGTGACGAAGTGAACGAAGAACACAGAGCTGTGTCGTTTATCAAGCCCATCGTTGATAATCGCAAGGAAATCAAAGAGAAAACGGATGGCGGTTCGCTGGTTGGTTAAGTGCCAAACGGAGTGAGGCGTTCAAACGTTCCCCTCCACCCTCCCGCCCCCTCCCCCCTCTGCGCGCACCTTTCTGTAATTCTTAAGATGGATTCAAGTATACGTTGAAATGATTAACAAATAAAGTACTGAGTGTTCCTTTCTGATTGTGGCTGCAATTTTTTTTTTTTTTCTTTTTTCTTCGTCGTATTGGAAACGTATTGGAAATATTGAGCGAATTCTTATTTTTCTTTCGTTCGATAATGATAAGTAATATATATATATATATATAACACGAACAAGAGGATGGATTGTAGAAGAAAAAAAATAGATTGCAAGTTTTTAGACGAGCGCATCATTGATCTCTTCCAATGTAATATCGTAAGAAGATGTGTTATTTCTTTTAAAGTAAATTAAAAAATATTAGCTGTAAAATTATAGTGGATATAATATTGGATATAATTGAATTGAAGAGTATTGCGAGTTAAAATTGAGACGATTTGTTTCGATAGAATTGCATAAAAAGAAATATTTTTCTGAGATAATGACAGTTGAGAAAAGATTGGAACAAGTATGACGTATAGTAACGTTCTTAACCGATAAGAACTCGATGATCGAAAAAAAAAGAAATACGATTTAACAAAATTTGAAAGTGATCGATTGCTAACGCAACGATTAAAAAAATAACTGGATATTTTCGAGGTTATACGATCAATGATATTTTTGAACGTTAATCAAAATTAAAATTAGCAAAACATGAGAAAAGAAGCGTATATGTATTCGTAGAAAGAATGATTTCATTTTCATCCGAAATCATCAATTTATTGATTTTTTAAACGTATCGCTTGGTCAAAACATTTCGCGGAAGTGTAAAAATGTATTGCAGAGCGAATGAAATTCGCTTATCGAACATCTATTCGCGTGAAGGAAAATCACAAGGCAACAAGGCCAACGAATCTAAATATATCGTTCAATTGCTTGCCGCTACTATTTACTTCGAGGAAAATTTTATTTATCTCTTTACCTAGAAAGGATAAGATACGCCTCGTGTAAATTTCCTCGTTAAAGTTTGCGAAGAAAAAAAAATATTACGCCGAAATTATCACGATTCTTAAATTCTTCGTAAACATTTCCAATCATAATACGTCTCGCATTATAGCGAGAATTAATAACATTTGAGAATTAAATCATTCGTCGAGATTTTACTTTTCGTTAATAAACGCTGATGTTGAATAAAACACTCGTGAAAAAAAAATACTTTCGAAAATTTCTTTTCTTTTTACTCTCAAATGCAAAAATTTGCGAACAAGAATATGTCTTGTCGTTACATACGAAAAAATTTGCAAGGGAAAATACATATCGTCTCGATGTATGACGACATAATTTCGACGTAATTGCCGATGTATTATCGAATGCGTACGTAAAGCCTCGATAAAGGAAAGTGTGGCGTTACACAAGGAAGAAAGCTCATTAGCTTAAGCCATCGAATGGCTCTGAGCCACTTAAAGAACCACGGATATCTCAGAGGTCCTAAATCCACCTGCCCCTTCGACCACCAACGGCTAAAGGTTTCGATATCTAAAAAGGTTGCCGGAACAATCGTTCGTTCGACCAGCCACTGGCCATCGACTCCTCGAGATGGTTGTTCCATTAAACTGTGCGCCACTTCTCATAAATCACCGGTAAAACCTTTTTATCGGCACAATTCGGATAGCATTGCTCCGCGTCTAGACTAGGCTCGTTAATCTTTTCCAGGCGAGGTGCATGGATCATGGGCGACGCGGCCGGAAAATTGATGGAGAGATGTTGTTGTGGGAGAAAAAAAGTTGGAGACGGGTCCAAGCGCGTTGATTCTTTCGACATCGAGATTGTTGTGAAAATCTTGGAGAGATGAGAAGATAATTCTCGTAGTTCTACGGATTATGAAGATCTTAATTTGACGAGGTTGAGGAATCTCGAGGAATCCTTGATGAATGAATCGCGTTAAATGGAAAATAAAATTTGCATTATTGTAACAAAAATAAAGATTGAAAGGAGAGTAGGAAAGAGTAGGAAATATTTGGAATTTTATAGATTCTAATTGGTACGATGTGTGATAATTTCAATTTCGCAAACAACCTTTGACAATTATTTTTATCGCGAAAGATTTATAAAAGAAATTATTATCAAACAAATCTCTTGATACCACGAAACTACTATATTATTACAAAAATGATGAACTGCTTCAAAACCTATATATTTATAAACGTAATAAGAAAAAAATAAATTAACGAGAATACAAAGAAAACGAAGAAACCTGTAATTTTATAAATTATTCCAATAATAAAGAAATCTTAATCAAAAGAACCTTCCGTATAGAGAAGAGAAGTATAAAAAGAGAAAAATTAATTAAAATTAAAAAAAGAAATTTCAAAATCTGCGAGAAGAATACGTTGTCGCAAGAACATTGAACATTAATCCGTTCGTTTAACTTGAGCAGTACGATTGTTTATTCGCGTGGAGGGGAAGGCGATCCGGAAATCACCGCCGCGGATCGATCCGCTTCAAGACAGAAGCGAACGACGTGCGTACATCATCGTTCGGTGAAGATAATGAAATGCGCGGCGACGAAATGGGCGGACGCGTGCGGCTGTGTGCGTAACGCTGCTCGCTTACGTTTATATAATGCCAGGCCCGGGAAAGTGAGACACCATTGAATCGTCGACCGTCAAAGAGGCACGCGTTTCTCTCTGTCGAACGACATGAAGCTCCGCATATCCGTTCTTCTCGTCGCCCTCGTGGCCATTCTTCTGCACTCTGCCGGTAAGAAGGAAGATCCATGTAAACGTGGAATCGATTCGTTTGATTGTCTTCGCAACAGTGTATTTTTTTTTTTTAAATTTAAAAAGCAGTAAATTAAATATATTTACCTATCTTATTTGGAATAGTCAAGAAACGTGATAATTCTAAAGAAATGGATAATCACGGTATTCTTGATCTTTATCTTGATCTTTATCTGTTTAATTACGCAATTTTTTTTTATCGTTCGAAGAACGAATGTCCCCTCTTTCCAATCGTATAAATTGAAATATTCGGTCAAGCGAGGTGAACCTTTCCTTCGTTTCGTTCACTCTATTGATTCGATCGAAATCGATCGTACCAAACATCGTCGATTATTTAACAATTTTTCGCAGCAATAATAACGTTAACATCCAATTTACAGAGTACACGACAGCAAACAGCATATGTCCTCAAGAGAATTGCCTCGATTCGACAAAGTGCGAGCATTTCGTGGTGGGTGCTACGTGTCCACGATCGAGCGACACGTGTTGCAGCATTGGTAAGTTCGTTCAAAATGATTACGATTAAGTTGGAAATATTTATTCATCGTTAATCGGGTACATTTATTCCGATGTTTATTTTTTAATAGGAATTGGAGAAACTGAAATAATTTATATAGATAGTTCAGTGTGAAAGTTTTCGTTTTATAAATAACTAACAATTTATAAAATGTTCTTACTTGGATCTCTATAGATAATATTGAACGATCCTCGTTCTTACTTATAAACAAACGCGAGAAAAAAATAGACTTACATCATGTTCACAACGAATGAAATTCAATGTTTATTGTGTTATTAAAAAATTATTACAATCTGTCAAAAAGTAAAACTTTACTTTCTATCTATCAAAAAAATACAAAAAAAATTATTCTATTTAAAAAAAAGAGACAATAATTAATCTCGAAAAATTTCATTACGAATCAATTTATCGAAGAACGAACACAATCGAGAATTTATTTATTCCTAATAAACAGTTCTTGAAAAGTGTTCGATTTAAAGTTTTTCCATCGTTTTTCCATCACGAGTATTTCTTTTATCGATAAGATAAAGAGCTGTTATGGAAACGCTTTCGTTTATTCCGGTCACGGTTAGAAAATACATACTGGAGGTAATTATAAACCTGGTAACGATAACGTAACGACCCGCGTTACAAACTGGATATAGCAATTTCACAACACGCAACACCGTCATTTCTACCGTGCCAAATCGAACGCTCTCGAGATTCACTTTTGCATGGCGTGAATTCAGAACGAAAGCATCGACCGGTTAATTCATGCGTCACGCTGTCCACACTTTCACGAAACATGTCGCCAACCTATTACTACGTTACGAGTTCGAGAAAGATAATTCGTCGGGTGATTATGTATTTTTCATTGGAGAAATAATCTTGTATTTTTTGTTAATATTTCGAATATTTGGAGCTAATAAATATTACGTTATTTTTAAGAGACAATATGATTGCAAAAACTTAATTTTGCAATCTAAGAGAATCACTCTTAAGAGAAAAATTCGATACAACATTTGCTCAAAATAATTATTCCTATTTAAGATTTCTCTCAAATCAAGAAATGTGTTTACATCTGTTTAAACGCTTCCGATAAATATATATTTTATTTTTTTCTCTTCCTTTCGATAATTGGCAAAAACTTGGAATTCTCGATGGAAATTATTTCTTTGATTTTGTGCAACAATAAAACACGTACTCAATTTTCAATGTTCACAGTGAAATCGGAGCACAGAACCCATTGCCACCACTTCGCAGGCGAGTGCATGGACTCCTGCACCAAGTTTCTGCGTCATGCGGTCGTCGATTGTCCATCCGACAAAGTCTGTTGCACGTTAGTTTAATCCGTGAATAGAGGAAGAGAAAAACAGGCAACAACGCGAGGCCTGCCTGCCCACCATCCGAACAATAGCGTTAACGTAACACCGATTAGTCTCGACTCGTGCCCTATCTATGAGCTGCGTATCATCTGTTCGTAGCACACGATAGAAAAGCGAGTTAATTGATTTTACAATCGCAACGGTGAATGGTTGCCGCGTGTGTGCACACGTTTGTAGCGCGACACGAAAAATGGCGTGCGCCGCTTGATAATTGTGAACACGTTGCGACACAAACGCAATTGGGACGTGAAATTAGTGCAAATGTGAAAACGTTTACTTCCGCGAATATGCACTTCGCTTCGTCCGTTTCCAATGGATGAGAAAATGTGAAACGTAGTCACAGGAAAACGTGTTTGTTATAATAAAGCATGCGTGCTCGAGAGAGTGGTCTGGAAACCTTTTTGACTTAACACTACCTCGATAGATCATTGAAGGAGATCGACAATTTTTTACGATCAGATGTTATTCGAGATGTTTTTGTATTTACATATCGGGAATTGTTATTATTAAACAATGTTTCTTTTAATGTACATTATTCTTACGCTTGTAATCGATTGATCTTTGAACGATATATTTAATTGCGTAATTTTTTTGGATAATTGATCGGATTGAAAGATCAAATTTTCGAAATACGACACGAAGTAACTAACAATTGAATAATTTTCAAATGATTTTAAAGCGATCAATTGTCCAAGAACAATCGTTCGTATATAATACACTTCTGTAATACCATTCGAAATTGATAATTAATTTCTTTCTGGAAAAAGACCAAGATCACCGAACCTCTTTCTATCCCTTTCGCGATCAATCATCTCGACCCAATCCATCCATCGTTAAATTAAAAAAATCTTCTTCTCGATTCTTCTCCAACCATAGCCAAATAAAACTAGCGAACAATTCGAGTAGAAGAGAAGGAAGGGCACGCGAGAGAGCGAGGAGAAGCAGGAAGAAATAAGAAGTGGATGTGGAGGAGGGGGGGAGGCACGTATCGCCGCGGGCAATGCAGGACGACGGTTGAGGGAACGCACGCACGGAAGATTTAGCGTCGTGTTGGTCAACCCTGGAGGGTCACTCGAAGAATCGAGGCGCGGGAGCGAGAAAGAAGAATAGCCCGAGGCTCCCTCTATCGTCGGCCATCGCTCGTCGAGATATAAGAGAGCGTGGAACGGTGACGCATTCGTCAACGCGAATTACGAACGTTGTAAAGCGACTCGACGAGTAACGAGCGGATATATCGTTCGAGCTGGTTAAAGCGGGGATACTTCGCTACAACGCGGAGAAGCGAGAAGGAAGAGATACCTTGCCCGAGGCAAGACACGAGGAACATGTGACACTAAATATAGAAACACGCCGCGAAGGAATTCTTCGAAAGGTAACGAAACAAACATTCTCGTTTCGACAAGAAATACTAAATAACACGGCGTGACGTGATCACTTGGCTGGGTCAAAAGCAACTTTCCTCTATATCCAGAAATGGCGAAGACGCGTGCTTTTTACACCTAACGATATTTGATATTCAAGTACTCGATCCCTTCAACCTCTCATCCTCTCTAATAAAAATTGCGTGTACTTTATCAAAAGAATCATCAAAAATCTTAATAAAATATCCCATCGTGAAGAACACTGTGCACAAATTTTAATAAATCTCCTCGACAAGAAGATTCTCGAATCGATTCAACCACGAATCCGTAACGCGAAGAAATCGAAGAAATTATCGAAAGGAAGAAGAAGAAGAGAAAGAAGACTGAAGAGACGACGACGACGACGACGACGACGACGACGACGACGACGACGAAAAGGAAGGATGATGAAGAAGAGGTATATCTTGCCCGGGGCGCTGCAGGCAGATGCCAGTACGTGTACTTACATGCACATATACACATTTGTAAGAGCCGTTTCGGTTAGCCCGGGGGCGAAGGCGCGGAATCATGCAGCGTGGAAGAAGAAGGAGGAGGTGGAGGAGGGTCCCCTCCTGGCCCCCATCGTTGCACGGAAGATGGCCCCGGGGGCACACGCAGAGGTGTACCCCACCATGGAGCGGAGCAACGGTCGTTCCGCTGCGGGCGCGGAAACGAGAGGAGATAGCGGCGAGCTTGGTGCACCCTCTCTCCTCGCGGCCAGAGCCGGCGAAGGGCGGAGGCACCGTGGAGGAGGAGGAGGAGGAGGGATTCACGGTGCCCTGAGGACGCTCGGCGAGACAATACGCTGTTCGTGGACCCCGCGGCGACTTCACGACGGACCGCTTGCTTCTCCTCTCCTCCTCTTATTCTTCTTTTCGCTCCTCTTTCTCGCCGTTTATCCGCCCTTCGCCTCGTTTCATCCGCTCTCAGCCATCCCCTGGCATTCGTTCGATTCTCCACGCGTATTCTTGTTTCGCAGTTTTTAAACAAGAACATTCTACTTCTCTCTGGTAGAGTAGAGTGGAGCAGATTTGGTTGTTTCTCTTTCTCTAGACGAGTTTTGATTCTTCTTGTCGTTCGTTATCCATTTAAGAATGCATTTTCCCGAAACTTCATTTTTCGAAAAAGTATCGAAAATATCTATAAATCGAAAGCAAAATCTCGCTTATCGGAAAACTTTCTTTCTGAAGGAAAAGAATCACGCGTCATAAAATGGAAAATCTCTACGATATATATATATATATATATATATATATATATATATATATATATATATAT